TTTGCAATATTTGGTACAGTGAAAAAGCAAGTGTGGTCAATTAAATAGACGACTCAGCATCATGCATATTTTGAGGATTTAATTCCTCATAATTTCATTAAATTATGAATATCTTATGAGCTTGCAAACAATAGAAGCCATGATTCATTTGTTATGTCTCTTGCATTGAGTATGACAAAGGCTTGAGGAACTGTATGCCCCAAATAGTTCAATGTTGCTTTGTGATTTCTTAATGTTTCTATTCTTGCTTTTTCTCAAGAATAGATGATTTAGCTACAATCCTTCTTCATTTTCTTTATTCGATCTTCCTATAACTTCTATTCAATGTATATTAAACTTTCAAATTCTACCATCCATATCTTTTAACTGCTTTTTTTCATTTTCCATTTTATTAACTCAGACAAAAATATGCAGGGATATGTCCTCAGATCTATTTTTCAGGTTACTGATTCTCTTTTCAGCTTTAAAACAATGGTGTCTGTGAGATTGTTATCATTTTTGCAATTCCATCACTCTATGCTTTATTGGAGACAACTTCCTTTTCTTCCCTCTTGTAACCCTTTTCCTCCTTGCCCCACAAGTTGATGCAGCTACTCATATTTTTCCACTATGATTTTATCATTAATCAATATTTTTTCTTTATATAGTTTTATAACATTATTTAAAAAAATTATAACATAGGTCTGGCCTTCATTTTTAGTTGACCTTTTCTTGTTTTTTTTTCACATTTTGATGTTTTCCATTATTGTAATAATAATAAACATCCTTAATTTATAGAACTTCTATGATAATTACATTGCATATATTTGCCAAAGAATTAGCATGCTATTATAATACAACTGAATGTTTTCCTAGAGATGTTTGTTTGAAGAATTCACTTCTAAGTGAGTGAATTAGAGTCCCTTCCCAATAACAATGGATAGTTCCAGTAGGAGCATCTGGCCCAAAAAAATTTTGTGATAGTCGCTTACCTGAAGATTTGGAGCTCAGTCCCAGAGAGTCAAGAATATATCATCATTTAAAATAAGATCTACCCTTTAGCAAAAATTTAAGTATACATAAATACAAAATAATACTAGTAATAATAAATAAAGAGTAAAGGAGGAGACTAATGCAGGTGAATGATGTGTTTATGGCAGACTGTGGTGGTGGTTTCACAGATGTATACTTATGTCCAAACTCATTGAGTTGTACACTAAACATGTACAGCTTTGTATGTCAATCATACCTCAATAAAGTACTTGTTTTTGGGGGAGGAGGTGGTGAGGAAGATTGGCCTGAGCTAATATCTGTAGCCAAGCTTCCTCTTTTTAGCTGAGGAAGACTGTCCCTGAGCTAACATCTGTGCCCATCGTTCTCTATTTTGTATGTGTGATGCTGCCACAGCATGGCTTGATGAGTGGTGAGTAGGTGCATGTTCAGAATCCAAACCTGTGAACCCCAGGCCACCAAAATAGCGTACATGAATTTAAACACTATGGCACCAGGCCAGCCCCAATAACGTGTTTTTTTAAAAAAAGATTATGCATCATGTATGCCTGGTTTGTAAAAGCCCAGAGCTACTGACATTGTCTCTCCTAAAAAAGGATAGAATAGAAAGAAACAGGAAACTATTCTGCAGTGAGAAAAAAAAAATAAAGCAATAATGTAAAAAGAATCAGAAAAATAAGACCAAAATAACTTCTAACATTGTTGAGTATTTGATATCAGTTTGTTTCTGACACGAAATATTATTCCCTAATTTCTTTGAATCATCCTCCTATTTATTTATTTACCAAGTATTTGTTGATTTCCTATTTGTGACAGGAAATGCTCATGCTTCAGATAAGTTACTTATCCCTCATCTCATGGATCTTCTATTTTAATAAGAAGGAAGAAACAAAAGGCTGGTAACAAAACATATAAGTAAGACAATTATAGATTGTAGTAAGTGCAATAAGACAATTTAGCAGAAAGATACATCAGGATAACCTGGGAAAATTACTTCACACAACATGTTAAGGGAAGGCCTTTCTGAGAGGGTATGTGAACTGAAACCTAAAAAATGGGAAGGAGCCAACTATTTAATAGATCATAGGAAGAACATTCCAGGATTCCAAGTAGGAGTATATTTCTTGAAAGTGCTGCTCTGGAGTAGGAAAAAAATTAGGTTTTGTTTGTTATTTTTGGAAGGGAACTTAACGGACGCCAGAGCCTAGATAATAAGGAGGAAGTGGAGAATTATTAGAATCAGATAATGTAGGTCACAATAAATATTTGGATTTTATTCTAAGCAAATTGTAAGGCATTGATAAGTTTTAAGGTAGGTGAACATGATCAGTTTTAAGTTTTAAAAAGATTAATCTTGCTGTTATGAAGATAATGAATTACAGGATTAAAGGGGTGGAAATTATGAGATAAATAAAAAAATGAGTCAAGCAGTTGTGATGGGATTCCTCGTGTAAGATGATGCCGACTTGGGCCAAAGTGGTGAAGCTGGAGATAGAGAGAAGAAGGTGCATTGAACCATTGGGAGCAGACACAAGAGGATGTCTTCAGCATAATTCCTACTATGAATTACATGAGGGAAATATGAGGGATGCCAGATGGGGGCCAGATCAAGAAAGACTTTAGTTATTTTTTGCAATTGGGTCAATGGCCATGACATTTTTTGCGTATTAGAGGATATGGTTTAAGATGGAGTGGTCCAAGTGATGTTTTGAACAAGCTAAGCTTTTGATGCCAATGAAACATTTAAACAGTCATTTTGGCTAATATTTACACCTGGAGCATATTGGCATGGTTAGGCTCGCAAACTTAAGAAATCTCAACCTACATGATGATACCATATATTTTTTTCATCTATTTCAAGATCTTTTGAAATATTCATAACAAAACTTCCTAATATGTTCCTCAATCAATCTGCATTTTTTTCCACTGAGGGACCATGCTCTGTTTTGAGACTGTAGTTTCCTTTTATCCCCAAACACTACACTAGGGGATATCACATCTGTGTCCCCTCCCATGCCTTTTTCTCTTCTTGCCTTCTCCATGTTTACAATTTTCAATATTTTGTCTGCAGCCTTCAGTCTCTCCTTTGTCTCTCTTGCAAACATATCAAATATCACCCAAAAGAAATGCTTCCAAATTATATCAGCTCCTCTATTTCTGCCGAAATCTAGTGTGTTGCTGGTTATATACTTTATTTTAAATTGCAACAATAAATCTTAAAAAGCAAACATTTTAAATCACAAACATGCATCCATCCTCTCATTTTCTCTTTCAAAGCTCCATACGGTATTATTTGCCAATTTGTATAAATACTTTCCAGTCCTAAGCATCTTTTTCTTCTGTTTTCTCAGGTCAAACTTTCATTAACACTGTCATTGGATATTGTATCCTTCTTGGTCCCCATGTCATGATTCTCCTAGATTTGCTGATAGGCAAATGACAGTCAATAAAGATTTTTGAGTAATTAAGATATATAATCAGAGTTATTTTTTAGGATAACTGAAATATGCTTTAGCCTCATTTTCAGTGCATTCCACGGTCAGGTCCATGTCACCTTTCTAGTGAGACTACCCTACCAGGCACCAATGAACATACATGTTCATCTCTGGCCCTCCATGTTCTTACTCATTTTAATTCCTCTGAGATTACTCCACTTTTTTGTGAGAGGTGGCATGTTATCTAAAAAAGGTTTGCCCACCATTTGTAGCGTTGACCCCAGGCAATCAGAAACTGGAAATGAACATAGTGTCAATGAGGCTAACAACCTTGATTTTGGAGTATTTAAGAATGTCATTCCTGATCATACTCTAGGCATTTACAATCTTCTTATGAATACTGATGGGTAAAGAGAGGTTAAAAAGATAAGTGAGCTGTGTTTAAATTAGCACCAATATTTTATGGTAATGAGTAATAATAATAGGTTTAAAAATGTATACAGAAATAGTTTCTAAGTACTTAGAATTTTTTTATTATAAAATAATAAAGCAGAATATAAAGAAAATAAATTTATTTTTGATCATGCTATTTTAGGTCAGTGGAACTAAGAGCAACCAGGAAATGAAGATTTTCTTCTGGGTTTTGTTTCCTCCTTGACAGAGTTATTGAGGTTCTGTTCCATCAAACCAGGAATCTAGGGTTCTGCATTTCTTAAAGACTTGCTCCCACTTATGCAGTGACTTTCCTCACATAGAATTCCTTATTTCTGAGATCTATTCAATTAAAATGTTAGCAGATTATTTTACCATAAGATAGGTGGTTTATCTAAACGTATGTCATTATTGCATTGATTACTACTTATGCTTCTACATATGCATTTGCCTGTTTGTTTTCAGAGTTAGTGGAAAATTTTCCTGAGAAAATTTGTGATCTGGAGTTGTAGACTCAAAAAGGATCATCATTTGGAGTTTGGGTAGTTATGTCTTGAGGTTTCTTTCACAAGATATTCTATGAAACATGCTGTTTTCATTTTAGGTGATATTGTGGAAATAAAACTGATATGAACAATCTCGGGGAGCAAAAATCCGTTGTTTCAGTAGTGATATAATTTGTTTAAGTACATAAGACATAATAATGCCAGCTCTAATTTGGAAACATAAAATTTGGATCATACTGGGCACCATGTGTTCCCCATAACAGTTATAAGTCTTGGAAACAAACTTTAGTTTAAATATTGTATTATTTGATTATATATATTAACCAGTGCCTTCCAAAGTGAAAATGAAGTGGCTCATTTTAAGGTCTAGTTTTGGATCTTTTAAATGCCATTATACAAAAATAAGATAAATATTTTCTACCCACCTGTAACAGAGAATCTGCTTCAGGTTCTTAGTGTGAATCTGTATGTTGCTGTGGCAATGAGAGTTGATGGGGCTCTACAAACCTTTGAGAACCAAACTCTGAAGCACAGGTGGTTCTAGGATCCACAAATTGCCTTTTAGCTCCTTGGGGAAGATGCCACCTGGGTTTGTTTCTTAACAAGGTCTTCCTCTAGATGTTCAACCACACACCCCATGAGTCTTTGTTGCAATTTGGGCCTACATTATTGAAGTGAGTTCAACTCCACGACAGCTAAGGGGCACGGTGATTAATGTGTGTCTCTCAAAGTAACTCATTTGCATTCAGAGATTAATTATCGAAAATTTTAGTATTGAAGAACCAGAAACCAATGATGTAGCAGTGAAATTAGAACAAACTATCTATAAATAGTATTTTTACTATGGCTGTCTGTTTTTTTTTTTTTTACTTTTATTTCAAAGAACACAATTAGCATAGTCATTATTTCAAGGAATGGGATAAGTGGATGTTAAAAGGAGGATGTGTCCTCTAAAAACAATCCTCAGGTAATAAAATCATTATTTTACTCTTTTCTTTATGATTGTATTTCAGGTGAGAAAAGGTGGAAGATAACTAGTACAGAAGAGTCAAACAGAATACTTAAAATGGAGCCCTGTGTCTTATCTGTAAATTTACGATCAGAAAAATAAATTTTTTAAACACTGAATAATTTAGATATTTTTAATGCATGTAATGACTAATAAATTATGTATCATGTCAGTTTTACCATATGTGCTACTAAAGCAAGCCCATGACTAATAGAATTATGTAAAAAGGAAATTGCCCTGGGGCTTTTTGCGGCTTAAGTCCTGTTTTCAGCACACTTATTTTTTGTCATAAGATATTCCCCTATATGCCTTCACTTTAAGGCTAGAGGTTGAGGTATATGGCACAATGTCATTTATAAAAAGTATAAATTCTTGCACATGGAAGAGTAGTGTATATTTTGTATGAACACAAGAAGACCTACAGATTCACGATAAACACACTGGGATGGTACCTGATTGTGCTGGAGGGAACTGGATATAGAAATCAAGAGGAAGGCGGTATTAGTTTGCTAGTGCTGCCTTAACAAAATACCCCAGGCTGGGTGGCTTAAACAACAGAAATACATTTGCTCACATCTGGAGCCTAGAAGGCCAAGATCAAGGGGTTGGCATGTTTGGTTTCCTGAGGCTTCTCCTTGGCTTGCAGACGGCCCCCTTCTTGCTACATCCTCTCGTGGTTGTTGCTGGGTCTGTGTACACGGCTGGTGTCTCTCTCTGTGTCCTAATCCCCTCTTCTTATAAGCACACCAACTGCCCACCTTAATGAACTCATTTGAACTTACTTACCTTTTTAAAGCCTTATCTCCAAATATTCTGAAATACTCAGTCACATTCTGAAATACTCGGTTTAGGACTTACTTCAACACATGAATTTTGGTGGGGCACAATTCAGCCCATAACAAATTGGAATAACAATTAAATTAAAGAAAGAGAAAAGCTTTGTCTGTCCCAATAATGATAAAGTTTCCTGAACTGAGGAATATACCTAATTGAAACCTCTTGTCTTACGTCTAAAAATAGTTGAAAACATGCCGTATCTTCACTGGGCAGAAAACTGGCTCCTGGAAATCTATTCTGCAAAAGTAATACATGTTATCAAAATATATAAAATCCTCATAAGAATATTAGTAATATGGTGAAATACTGAAAACTACATATATAGTTTGGAGTAAATTATAGATGCATACATTTAGCATAATTTTATGTATTCTTTAAAAGTTTATCTATATGGATTATATAGAAATTTAAGGACTACTTCTGAGAAGAATATTAAAAATAGCGTTAAAAAGGTGAAATTGTTTTAGTTTTGTTTAAAAGAGTAAATTATTAAGGTATATTTTATGTATAATAAAATGCCAAGTGAACTTGGATGACATTTGAAAAATGAGGATACTCGAGAGGATACAGCTCTCAAGTAGAGAATAATTCTATCACTCAAACTGTTCTCCAGTGTCTCTTTGCAGTAAATTGACCCACACTGTATCCCAGGCCACAGTTACTATGATTTCTATCCCCATAGTTTCATTTTACCTATTTTAGAATTTCATATAAATGAATGATAAAGTACGTTTCTGTCTGGTTATTTTGCTCCACTTAATGCTGCTGGAATTCATCTGTGCTGTTGCAGCTATGGACAGTTCACTCCATTTTATTGCTGGTAGTATTCCATTTTATTATACACCATAATTAATCTTTTTATCTGCTGATGGACAGTTGAAATATTTCCATTTTGTACTATTATGAATAAAGCTATCAATATTTTAACATTCATTAACAAGTGGGGGTATATGAAAAGATACTGCATAATTTCATTCTTTCCTATTTTTTAGTGGATTTATGAGTTCCCATATCTGATTTCAGGAAATAAAAAGATTCCAAAGGACTATGTGGTTCCCTCGCTTACTAAAGCTTCTGCTCTAGCTGTCCATTCTTACACTAGGGCCATTCATCAATAATTTTGTAATAAATTAAAGGAAACGAGACAAAGCAAAGGATCAACTAAAGGCTTTGTCACAATGTTAGTGCAACTGATAAAAGAAAACTTTTCTCTGGGTGCCTCACATTTCTTCTCCTTAAGTTCCAGGAAGTTTAAAAGAAAACTCTTGGATAATTTAATTAGTAAGGGAATTAGTAAGAAACAGTTTATTAGAGCAGAGTTTCTTTTACTAGTGAGTCTGTTCGCACAGATATCTGCTCAATGGGTGAAGATATTCCAGTGACAGAAAGAGTTAAAAAAGGGTTTTATTGATCTTGTGCTTCTCTTACATGGTGGAGGAATCAATATTGCTAACTAGTGTGTTGGTGTTCAGTACAATTATTTCAACATAGTGATGACAACCAATGGCCATGGGGAACTGACAAAGAGTTTTAAGGACTTGCCCAAGCTCACTCTGCTGGTTGTAGTGGAACAAGACTCTAGAATGATGGTTGTTTTTTTGTTTCAAAGGGCCCTGTTTTCCACTGCAGGCTCATCTCCACATCTCCGTCTGGATCACTACACTTTAGCCACATTGGCATTCTAGCAGCTTTTAAAATATGGCAATCATTCTCTAGGTTCTTGTGCACATATCATAGGTCTTCTCATTACTGGAGATGCACTAATTTTTTTCTATTCTGTCTTCTGCTCTACTCTATTCTAGGCTGTTCCATCAAGGGAATCCTGGTCAATATTCACTAAATTTGAAATATGCTAATGGTGGGTAAGCACATTTTAAGAATCTCTTCTCTAGACTTCTCTGCTCTTCATAAACACGAACACTCTTCGTATAACTATCTCATAGCAACTTCTCCCATCCTCCAAGACATTTCCTTCATTGATTTTCTGACATAAAATGTAGTAATATCCTTACCCTTAGGACCAGTACCAGATCTTTTGATTCTATATTTCTATTCATTGAAAACGTGAACATAGTTTTCTATTAAAGAAACTTTCAACTATCATAACACTGGGCTTCTGTATTATGTGGAGAGGGTCAAAATATTTTTTAATGAATTGTAGACACTAAAAATTTCACTGAACACA